ACACCTCTCAACAGAGTAGTCTTTCACATGTGAAGAAATTGCTTGTAGTTAACAAAATAGTCTTTTGAATTCAGAAAGAATTGGCAAAATAAGGTGGGGTTTTTTTTCATGCTCTGTGTACTGGCTTTAGTTCCCTGGCTTAATTTTCAGGTTTGCTTTAAAACATCTTGAAAGGGTCAAACTTGCTGAAGGCCTGAATGGTTAATTTTTAAAAAATGAAGCAGATGGTCAGGAATTTTGTCCTGCAGAGTGTTTAGGTGAGCTCAAGTTGCTGCAAGAATGGTGAACTTTGCAGGTACAGGTGGGACACATGGAATATCTGCAGTCAGAGTGTGCAGCTGATGTTATTCAGGTATCAGAGATCTCAAAGGGGAATAAATCTGTTACTTCCAGGAGAACAGAAGGTTACTCTTTAGATTCTTAAATCTGTTACTAGATTTCTGAATACTGCAAGTATTTCTATTATCTTCTGCCATGTGATTTTCTAGAATTTGAAAATAGTGTGGAAAGCAGTGCTAATGTTATAATGATAAAAACTATGGTTACAATATACAAGACCTGTAATTCCTTGCAAGTTTAAATGCCTTGCACTGGATGGATGATTGGATTTCATTCACCTGTGGTTGTTTTTACTTTCTGGCAGGGGTAAGAATTTTCATATCCAGGTGTCCTTTCCACAATCTTCTCCTTGTTGGCAGAGAAGGCATTAAAAGGATTTCTGGTTACAGTTCCCTGATCTTTTCTTGCTGCTGATGCCAGTTGGAGGGAAAGGGAAGGTGCTGCCTGTCACATGTTCGTGGAGTTACTGGGAGGAGTTGGGCTCAGAAGGAAACAATCCCTTCAGGAGAAGGTGGTGGTGGTGGAACAGTAATTTGGCTTTTTGCAGCTGCTGCAGAGAAGATTTACTTAAATGCCATTCTTGCCTTCACTGTGCTGCTTTAGCAGCTGGAGGCTTTAACAGCTTGGTTGCTTTCACACTTAAAAATCTATAAAACCTGAACTCTCTCTAGTTGTAGAAGCGCTTCTGAACTTGTGAAAAGAGGCAAGTTTATTGTCTGAAACTGGGTATTCAGCTTCATCTTGAATATCTCAGGAAATTTAGACTTCTGGTTAAAGATGTGATGCAGTGAAGTCCTACTGCAGGAATTATGGAAGTAAAACATAAAAGCACAGAGAACACAATACTTGTTTTCAGTCTTGGCTTGATTAGGTAAACAGAAATATCATAAATCCACCATTTTCAACTTAAAGGTTTCCTTTAGTACCCTCAAACTCGATTCTGCTCGCAGTGTCAGTTTATCATGGTGAAATGGGTGTAGCCACGCCACACAGAGAAGTTTTCAGACAATATTTATACACACATAAAGGCTTTACCAAATAGAAAATGGCATGCTCTGTTAAGCAAAGCTACTCTAGAGCTTTCTCTGTGGGGAAATAATGACCAGAGGAACTCTTTGGAGAGCTGCTGTGGCTGGACAATCCCATATATTCAAATATACTCATGGTCTAGCTAAAAGCTACAGATGTGTTGTTCAGTATTCCAGTTTAAATCCTTGTTCTACCTGGAAAAGCTGCAGAATGATTATATAAATGCCTACTAGTTTTCCATTCATTTTTCTTTTTCCAGAGGACAGCTGTTCACCTCCTTTGTAACCGAAACGTTGTTTATTATTAATTGGCTCCTGAAACCTCATAAAAGCATCTCATTTTATTGCAAAAGATAACATCACATTAAAGGGCCTAAAAATATACAAAACATACATTAGAGGATAAATTTCCCTTGGAAGATGGTTTGTATCTTAGCTGGCAGGACTACTGAGTATTGTGGCTTTTTTAAAAAAGAGCTATAGGGCACAAAACTGCCAGAAGCCCTACATGAACTGCTGTTATATGATAGAAAAATCAGTATTTTATCCATACATTCTTAATTTTTAGAGAAAGTAAGGTTGACTCCATAAAACAACCATTTCAAACACAGTAAGTTTGGAATACACCGTGTTCTGTGCAATGTTTTATAAATAGCATATTACAGTTGTCATTGAAATACATTTTTCTCAGAAACCCCACAGTATTTTTTACTTATTTTGTTGCTAGGATATACAAATTTCCATGTTAAATCAAAGCAAACCAGTAACCAAGCATTATCTTTGTGCTGATGGATCTTGGCTGATGCATCCATGACACATCCCCACTGTTACCTTTTAGTGTGACAAATAGTCTTTTGTTCCAATGTTCCCTTTAAAGTTTTATGCAGAAAGCCTTTTGTGTGTGACAGACTGGGGATAATAACTCCTGGCATTTAGTAGGTGTGGTTTGATTGTGAAAACACGATGCTTTTTCTTTTGTAGGGATAATTTACTTCCGTGGTACTTTTACTTTATTTTCAGTGGAACTATTGTGGGATTCCATAAAAATGCCTATTAGGTTTCAATTAGTTTTTCTTTTTTTTTCCAAAGAACAGCCGTTCACTTCCTTTGTAATCTAAATGTTGTTTATTATTAATTGACTCCTGAAACCTGATAAAAATATCTCATGGTAGTCAGAGCCTCGAGAAAAGGAATGAGGGAGCTCTGTCTGTGTTTTAAATAACTCCTGAGTGTAGATCTAACACATATTCCAGAATTTGACTGTTGCTGCTACTGCTGACAAAAACAAAAAACAAAAAAAAAATAAACAAACAAAAAAACCGAAGTTCTTGAAACAGAGAATTCCAGGCCAACCTTTCTGAAGGAGAGTGCTTTAGCAGCACTGGAAAACAGATGTCTTGGAGGGGCTGAGTTTGAAAGCTGAAGGCAGAGAGACAAATGACTGTTCTGGTGTGGCAGCAGTGGGAGCTGAGGGTCAGCTCCCTGGGTACCCGGAGTGCTGCCCTCCCACTGTGTGTGCAGATGGCACAAAGGGAATTTCAGATCCATCTCAGGCTCCACTGAGGGACGGGGAACTGAAAAACAACCACCTTGGGAACCTGGAAAACAGCCGCTCGTTTTGACGGGGAGATTAAGGATTAAAAATCACCCACAGCTCTGGAGTCCCTCACGCTCAGACATTAAAATATAAACCCTGTAAGCATTTATATCAGTATAGTTCAGTTTTTCAGGAGCACTGATGCCTGTTCAGGTCCTAAGGAAGATTTAGAGCCTTACTTGCAACTTTCTTTGGGGAGACTTTCTTAAACTGAAGTTCCTGCGTGGTTTTCCTGACCCCAGGAATTGATTGGTGCTCCGTGGTGAACCAAAGTGCTGTGGTTTGTTTAAATCAAATCATCTGGATCCTTTGAAGATACACTGAAGGCATCATATGCATTATGTGTGCAAACCCAAAATCAAATAGCTGAAAAGGAGCTTTTTTATTTTTTTTTTGTACTTACTAACCAAAAGAAAGACAAAAAGACTGTTTTCATAGAATAAATTATTAAAAATCAGTTCACTGCAGAAAAAACCTTCTGGTTTAGCTAGTGTTACACCTGTTGGTACTGCTTATTATACCTTTACCACAGAGAATATTAGTCTTAAAGTGCTATTTTAATACACAAGAATAACTTAGACACTGATAAATCCTTCATTATATCAATTATAGAGTACTTGAGTAACATAATGATGTGTTCTGATGCAGTAATTTAATTCTAACCTGTGTTGTACCCACAACCTATTAGTGAAGAGCTTTTCTGTCTCACTAAATTGGTGTTTTTTGCTGGTAAAAATTAATTTCCTTCTGAAAAATCTCTACAATCATGATAATTTTGTGCTTGTCATTTATGTACTCACTGAACTTAACATGGAATTGTTTCTTAGAAGTGTCACTTCCCTCAAATTTTGTTAAATTAAGCCATGACATATTGCATACTTTCTTCTAAAAGACTAGTTCTATTAAAAAAAAAAAATAATTAATTCTTCCAGACAAAATTCTTCTGTGCAAAATTGTTTTTAATGTGTTTTCAAATGTGTAATTAACCCTAAGAATTCAAGGAACACGGAAGTGTACAAAAAAAATGTACAGACATTTTAAATTAACATTGCACAATCGATACAGCATGACTTAGAAAAATAGGATGCAGGGGTTAATCTATGGAACACCCTGAACCAGGGTCACTAAGAAAAGGTCTGCAGTACATTCCACTCAACTTGCTTTGGGAAACCTTTTTCCCCTTTGCCCCTCCCCCCCAGATGAAAGGTGGCCACGTTTTTCCATGAGTAAAATAATAGGATAATCAGCCCTAAATTAGGTTCCATTGGCATTCCCTGTGCTGGCTGGCAAATCCATTATTTTTGGAGGAAAGAAGTCACTGCATTGACACTTGATAAAATCTTTTCGGTGTATCTAATTTTTTTCTGTAATGCAGAGAAGTTCACTAAATATCATTTTCATGTCCAATTTTGTATTGTGTGTCAACTCACACCTTAAGGCCGAAAAAACCACAGCTTGGGGTATTTTAATATAGTGATGCAGTCTTAAATGGACAGATTGGGCAGATGATTTAGTAAGAGAGGAGCCAAAATAGTGATTCCTCTTTATCCAGCAATTGTGTGATGACATCTGAGGGGTTGTGTCCAGTTTTTAGGCTTCCAGGTAGAGGAGAGACATCAAATTACTGGAGGTAAAACAGCCAAGCTGCCCCTGGGCTGCAGCAGGAGCACGAGCAGAGAGGCAGTGAAAATTGGGTTGGGTCAATCTTTAGGAGGTGAAGACTTAGGAGAGAGGGCTTGTTATCCATCCAGCTCTTCCTGAAGGTGCATTTGGACACAGCAAGGTGTAAAGGGCACAGGTTAAAATAAGTGAGATTCAGATCAGATGTTGGGAATCAAAACTGGAGCAGCCCCTCCCGAGGAGTCTGGGGTTCTTTTCTTTGCAGAGACTGAAAACTCAAATTCGCTTAATCTGACCTTGCTTGAGGAGGGGGTTGTAAGACCAGGGTTACCATGATCTTCCCTTGTTTTATGATTCCCCTGTTATTTCCAGAGAAATCTCTTGAATGGCTGGAACTTCTAAATGGAGGCTTTTCGTAATGAACAAATAAAAGGGCAGAGTAAAACTTACACCAAAATTCCTTTTTTTGATGTTGTTCAATATTAGATGAACGACAGCAACAAAAACATTTCAGTGGGGAAGTGGAACAATTATAATTATCTCCTTTGAGGAGAGAGTTGTATGAACAGCATAGGTTTCCCTGAATTTGTTCTTGATGGTGTGGTTTGTTCAAAGATCAGTGAAGTTCTTGCATTTTAGTCCATGTTGTTTATAAACAGGAAATGAATGCTGTGTGACATGCTTAGCTTCATCTACCATGGTTGTTATGTTTTTGTTTTTTTTTAAGTAGAGATTTGAACCTTGCTATTTTTGGAAAGTTGAAAAAAAGGTCTTTAGAAAGCATATGAAAGTGTCCTTGGAAAAAAAATGAGAGCTTCCTTCTGAAAGAAACAATTTCTCTTTTGAAAATAGCATCTTCATGCACCTTTATTCAGTGAGATGATTAAATTCAATTATTTTGATTTTTTTCAGATACCCTAATTAAACATTCTTTACCTTTGTGGCTTTGTAACAGCACATTTCAGGCCTGTGCTCCCGAGCTCTTTCTGTTCTAGTGTCTTTTGAAATGTAAAAGGAGGCAGAAGGAAGTCAAATCCACCAGAAGCATTTTCTTTTCATCTTTTTTGTTTTCCTCCTTAACTCCTTTTTCTCTGGAGCTGGAGGATCAGGTGGTGGCTTCTGAGGTGAAGCTGAAGCTGAATCTTGCTCTGCATTATCCAGTGTTTTCAAAATCTGGTGAAATCTTCCTTCTTGTTGTCTGAAGTCATATTCTACACTATGGAAAAATGAAGAGATTGAAGCTAGTAAGAGAGAAATCCCCTCTTTAAAAAACACCTGGAAGGGATGTTTGTCTCATCAGAATAATTTGGCATTATTCAGTAACAGAACCTGGTGAACACACAAGGGTATTTTGGTTTCTACTTTGACAATAAATTAATTTACTAATTTTTTTTTCCGTGGGAAAGCTTTTACTTTAAATGACGTAAGAACTCCAGCATTTTGCCCAGAACAATGGGAGAAAAATTAAGGGAGAAAAACCAGAAATGTACCAGAATGACCTTTCGATGCATTTTACTCAGAGGTCAGGTTTTGATACCACAATCTAACAGTCATATCCTTGGAATTAATTAAAAACTCTCACATGCTTAACTGTGTTAAATGTGAATGTCTCCCACTAGGAGACAGGCTAGGAGCAAAAATGTATGAAAGTGAGCCAATATGTAAGTCTTTGAGGTAAGTGCTGTTAGTTAACGGGAAAATAGAACTCATTTTCTCCACTGAAACCCCAATTATTATTAATGTCAAATGAGAGCCAAGATGTTAATTAGATAACAGCAGATGAGTGCATAGAAATCAATGGAAGGTTAAAAGAGTCACTGTGGACAGTGACTAAGCAGGATTCTCTGTATTTTCTTTATTTCAATCATCTTTTCTGGCCAGAAGAGTATCAGGGTTGTAGCAGCTCTGTGTGTTGGGGAGGTTTTAGGAGGCAGGGGGAGAGTAGAAAGGGGGTATTTTTCATAATCCAAGCACAACCTGAGGATTTTTGAGATGTCCCTTCAAGGTCCTGAATTGATTTTGGCACTGATTAGAAGAAATCTGTAAAGCTAGTAAATATGTATATCCTAAACACATTGTATTTTTATGTCTATAGAAATCCATGAAAATTGTTAAATAATACTTTAAGCTTAACTAGGAGCTTGTTTCCTTATAATTCACGTGTCTTGGGGTTTTTAATGAAATAATACAACTCAGCTGGTAAAAAGCAAGCAGTAGGATTATTCTGATTTAGAAAAGCTGGAGAAGGATCTCTGAACAAGAAGCAAGACATAACAAATATAAAAGAGGTAGAAGGAAGTGATATAAAATCAGTGTCTCTGGCATTTTATCAGCTTATTGCTAAAGCTGCAACTTAATACTTTTCAGTAGGCAAGAATACTAAATGTTGGGTTTCTAGCACATGTAAAGGTAGTATCTGCTCCTAGTCCTGTTTTCTGCCCTTCTTCAGAGTTTTTAATTTAATGTTGGAGAGATCATCTCCAGAGGCAAGAGGTCAATTCAGTCTTCATTTAATCCTGTCCGTGATATGCCCAGATAAATGTTTGTATTTGCTACTTGCATTTGTTTATTATAAACAAGCATTTGTGTTACATGATCTAGATTGAAAATCCCGAGTCTGGAATCCCTGCTGGGGAGTTAATAAAGCCAAATATACAGGCACTGTTAGGCAGAAAAGCTCTTTATTACTTTACTGATCAGTGTAATCCACACTGGGATTTCTACGAGATTAGTGCATTGTTTGACTCAGGGACTGCTTGAAATGCGTGTGATAAAGATGGTTCAGTGACAGCAACCCCACATCCTGCATCACTGATGAGCTGGGTTCTTTAGGAGCAGGAAAACTGGGAGCAAGTTAAAACATTTGAGTCTCTAATTAATGGAAACAGGGGTGCTGTGTTAGGGGGAAAATACTCGCACAGACCTTTAGGCTACATAAAATATAAAAAAAAAATTACATGGATTTGTCTAGAGCAAAGACTGATAACAATTTCATTTGGAATGTTGTCTAACTTCAAATGTTAGTCACTCAGACTACTTTTTTCATAACCTCATCTTGTGGAACATCTCTGTAAAGTGAAAACTGTTCTTCCTGCTCTGTCTCCTGTTTCCCTCTTTAAACTAGAAAAACTAGAACCTTTTTAGAGCAACCATGTTCTCTACATGTTCTACTAATCCTTGCACTGTAAAACCTTCAGGCACCACTGTCATTACAAACTGCCTAGGAAATCAAAAAAGCACATCAGTGTTTTCTTATTTCCCTCGTCCTTTTCTTTGGGTAATTGTGATGCTTGTTCAGGACCTTTCCTGCACTGAAACTTAAAACCAGAAGGTAACCATCACGGTTTGTTCTTCAACCTGTGGTAAAGGGTAGTTTGTACATAATTTCTAGAGAGTGATCTATTTGTGTCTAGCCCAATAAAATACCCAGAGATTGTTTGTTAAGAGATGAGGACCAAGTAAAGGAAACCTGTTTTGTCTTGGATCTTCCTTTTCATACAGACCCAGTGTGTGCTCTGGGATAAGTTGTGTAACTTCCAGAGTACCCCGTGGGCTGTGAAGAAGATGAACAGCTCTGTCTGAGAGGAGTTGAGGTGTTTAATTTGTGACATCTTTGGGATTTCATTGCCAGAGGTTTAGGACATGAGTACCTGGCTGAGTTGTGTGTTGAACAACAGGTTCCAGTGCTATGTTCAGTTTATTAAATTCCTGAGCAAATTTGGCTTGTGTAGAAGATGTGGTGTGAAAAAAACCTTCCATGTGGGTATTTTCTATTCCTTATATCCCTTAAAAAAAAATTAAAGTCATATTGCTTGCAAACTGGCAAAGATAATGGCCTGCCATGTTCTTTGAAATTAAGGAAAAGGTTTCAACCGAAAAGAGAAATTTTCACCATTTATTTTTGTAAATATAATCAAGTAACCCAAGATTTGTTTTCTCTGCCTCATAAACGAGGTTGAAGAGATGAGATAGTGTTTATAAATTGGAGGAAACTTTATAAAATCCCTTGCTGAGTGGACGAACCACATGCAGAGTACAACCTGCTGGCTTTGGGTGGATGGCTGGGGAACTGGAGGCTCTTCCAGCCTGTTTGTACAGACATGGTGTTTGAAACATGTACAGCTTCCAGGACACAGTGCTGCAAAGTTTTCTGGTCAAATTGCACTTCCTTAAGTGAATAACAAAAGTTACAGAAGCGAGAAATGTGGGAGTTTAATTTTGGTGAACATGAACTGTAGCTGTAGCTCACTGGCATTTGGAGAACTGTTTATCTTTTCCAAGATCTAAATGTATTACAGAAATCCCAGCTTTAAGAATGCAGCACACAGAGGAGTTTCATCTTCAGAAATGGCATCAGAGGTTTTCAAAGCCTAAGTAAGAACTCTGTGAAACCTTGGTGGCGAGTTTCTATTTGAATCCTCAGCCAACACCACCATCAATTGTTTTCTGCTTGGGAAACAAAAGGAAACGCCTCATTCACACCACTTGGTGTTCTGTTAAAAACTGGATTAGTCACAGCTGAGACATTTTACAGTTGTGAGCAAAACATTGTGTTTTACAACTGGGGGGATATCCAGCCCATGCAGGACTGTGGGAAGGAGGGCAGTACCTGTAGATGATGCAGGCGGTGTTCTGGCAGGTGCTGCAGTTGTTCAGGTCTTGGCCAGTGTGGTAGAAGTTCCTCCTGTAACAGAGAGCAGCTGGTGTAAAGTGTGTTTATAGATACAGTAACACATCTTTGAATCTTTTACCAACAAAAATCCGCCACTTCCATAATCCTTACTAAAAATTCTAGTGTAGAATTCTAAGTTAGAAGGTGGCTTTAAAAAACACAAACCCTGTGATTCTTGTCTCGCATCTTTCCCACGTTGCTCTGTTGGGATTGTGGTTGTTGGTTCTTGCAGGAATATTTGTTATGAAAACACTTTTAGACATGCAACTATTTCTTACAAGCCCGCTTTAAGGTGTTTAAAATCTGATCTTTGCCCTTCTGCTTTCCAGTCTTTCCTTTTCTTGTGTTTCCTTACTTGAGTATAACCAAGTCAGATTTCTACTGCTCACAGCATATAAATTTGGAGTGCTGAGAACAAAAAAAAAAGGGATTTTTATACTTAACAGCAACTAGAGCTGAATTATTTTTATCATACTGGTTTTTACCAAACTGTTAGAAACAGTTCAAAACTGGTGGTTCATTAAGTCTGAAGGATGAGTAACTCATATTTAACAAGTTTTATTTGGATTAGGGGAGAACAGTTGGTACCAAAATAAGTTCCTGATTGTTTTGGAATTAAAGTGGAAGTTCTTCATGTGCAACTATCCAAGTACTTGGAATTTTAAATGTCACTGCTGGAAGATTCTGGGAAGATGGATTGAAGCTTCTCATTGAATCCCAGTGTCAAACTTCAAGGTATTTGACAAAATTTTTCTTTTGAACCCTGTGGAAACTGAACAGAAATGGATTACAAATATTGCTGGATAATCTGGCCGTGCTTCCCAGCAAATTAATCTTTGCTACGGTCGGATTTGCAAATGGAAACGTGGATTTGTAATTGGAACTTGTGCAGTCTCTCATCCAGGACTGCGTGCAGGGGAGAAGGAGTGAGGATTCTTTCCTGTCATTTCTGAAGGAAGCACATTCCAGGTGGTAGCTGGGTGAAGAATACAACAGAGAAGTGATTGCTTAAGCTGGACATAGGCTTGGATCCCTGCCTTAAATCTTGCCTCTTAGCTGAACTTTAGGGTTCTGGGATGCTATAAATGTTTTATTTTGCATTTTTTCTCTCAGTATTCGATTTTGTCTGTTGTTAGAAAGTTGTTGGTAGAAAATGATATGGAACAAGCTTCAGAGAGAGGATAGCTGGAGCTGAGCTGCCTGGGAAAAGATTTTATATGGAATAACAATTTCTCTGAGCCCAGTGGAAGCTAATAGAAGTGTTTTCACTTCAACAGCCAGATGGACATTACTGGTTAATGCTTACAGATAAAAAAGATAATCTATGTGGAGTAAAATCACAGGCTAACTAGATTTAGATATTTTAAAATTTTTAGTGAGTGTAGATTCATATTTAGAGTGTGAGTTGGAAAGTTATTCATCACAAATAGAAGAAGTTCAATTACCAGCTAAAATTCTTCGTAAAGGAAAGACTTCTTCAAAATGGATTTTTCTTTGTTTTTCTGCAGAAGTTGTTAGAAAGTTGGGGCATATAAAATTGTGGCCTCAGTTGGTTCTATCCTGACAGTTCTGCACAGCCACAAAACCCTCTTCTGCCCACGTGGGAACAAGGGCAAAGACCCAATGCTGGGTGATGTGAGCAAGGCAGGGTCGTGCTCTGTGCTATTTGTGTGCAGCTTGAACCCAAAACCCTCAGTGCAGCCTTCTTGTAATGTTTGCACAGTTGGTGGAAATGCGGAATGTTATCTGGTTTATCCATTAATTTTAATCAGTTAATGCTATTGATACACATGATCTGATTTTAAAACTGAGGGTGCTGTTTGATGCCCAAAGCAGTTGAGTATAAGTGACTATTCTAGATGCCTAAGCAGCCTGTGCTGAGGATAAAATTGTTCATGATAACATAGACTACATGTTGTTTAATCTTTAAAAAAATAAATTAAAATGGAACATTTATTCTCTTAATACTTTGACAGATTTACCCATGAGTTTTTCAAAGATAAGTTATTTGATGGATGTACTGTGTTATAACCAGGCAGAACTGTCAAGTGTATCCTAGATGCATTCACTGTAAGTGGGAGATGCTGTTAATGGTGTGGAAAGCTTGATGAGGATATTCTGAAACCTGGTTTGAGCATAGAATTATTAAGAATTCCTTTTTAACCTATGAAGGTGTCCATTCTTGAGACCTCAGTTGGATTTATAGTATTACTGTTATTTATAATGCATCAGTAAGTGTATAAATGCTGCTGGCAGCCTTAGCTACCGACACAAACACAGGTCACTCATTCCTGCTGAGCTGCAGAAAGCAGAGCTCTGAAATCTGAGATTCTCAAGTGAGTTCTTCCCTGGAGTCTTTACTCCCTCTGTGTCCTTAGTTCGAATCCTTTTTAAGCAGCTCCCTCTACTTGTTTTTAGGGGCAGTAATGATTCATAGAGATGATTTATAGAGCAGGAGAGTGGCTTTTGTGACATCAACTGTGTCAGTGCTTGGGCACTACGTGTGTATCTGACCTTGCCATGGGTTTGTTGTGCTGCAGGAGTACATTGAACTCTTGGGTTTTGATGTTCTCCTGCATTCAGATTTTAGGCAGCTGGAGACTGATAATTTTCAGGTGTCAGTGGCTTCGTATCGAACACCATCAATCTAAATGAAAAAGGGAGTTGTTAAGCTGTGTCTCACTGGAATTAGTAAAGGCAGTGGCAGCTAAAGCCAAACTATGCAGAGACTCTTCTCTGCTGAGGCCCAATTACCACAAAAATGGTGTAAGATGCCTTTTCTGCAAACTCATCTTTAAATATCTGAAGAGATCTGTTTTTCAGTAGCAAAGGTTAAAAGAATGCTAACACCTACTGTACACTTCTGATGAATTACTAATATTAAAAATGGACCATACCCTTCACTCAGAGCTCTGGATTTTTCCAGGTCTTGGATTACATTCAAAAGGACTTTAATCTTCTCCTGGTTGGACTGCAAGGATTCCTCCACAGACTGCAGCCTGCCTTGGAGGGCACAGAGTTCGCCATGTGCCAAGTGAATTTGATTTATTTCACTAATCTCTTTGTTGGTTTGCGGTTTGATTTCGTTCCTTGGCGGATAAGACTTTATGTGAAATCCTTCTAAACAGCTGTTGCACTGGGAAGCATCTGACTGGGTGGAGTTCTTCTGGATTTCAGGATTACAGGACAGAGCAGGTTGTGGTGCGTCACTGCTGGTCGCTGATGTGGCTGTGTGGTCACCTGGGGACGTCAGGCAGCTGGAATCTGGTTTGTGCTCTCCTGCCTGGTGACAGTCTCTGAGGAAACAAGGAGATGAGCTGTGATTTGATGGAGGTGACACTGGGGAGGGTTCCTTGCTGCTGGCATCTCTGCTGGCTGCAGGCAGCTCAGAATCGCTCTTGCCCACTTCACAAGCAGCAGAAGGGGGATCACATTCCCTGCAGTTGGCAGAGTTGCTCAGGCAAGGCTCTGCTCTGTCAGACTCAGAGGACACTGTGCTGTTCTCATTGCTCTCGGTGCCGTGGATGACAGCAGAGGAGTGCAGGGAATGACTTGGATTGGTGGCTGTGTCTGGTGCATCCATGGAAACATTTCTGTCCTGTGGAAAGCTCACGTGTATGTATTCAGGCACCTGTGTGGACACAGTTGTCTTCTCTGATACTGAGGAATCATCTGAGTAGATGGGCCCGTTGCTTTGTGCTTTTGGTGCTCTTTGACTCAACCTCCCATCCCCCTCACTACTCCTGCATCCATCCTCCCCGTGGTTCGTTATCCTCAGGTAACAGAGATCTGCAGACATCATGTCCTGTTCACAGAGACTGCCATTTACCTGGATGGCATGTGCAGGCTCTGTTGGCATCTCTGTTAACGATTTACTTACTGTCAACTTCTTCTTCTTAAAGACCGGGAAGTGTTTCCTGAGGCTGGGAGAGGTTTGTATGGCAATATTCCGAAGCCCCTTCTGAGCCCTTGGAAAAGTTGGAGAGCGAGTCAGCAAAAAATTGTGATCCCTAAATATCTCTGTTTTTCCAGTGGGGAAAGCCGTGCCTGGGGCGGGATGAGCATCCAGCTCCGCCTTGGTGCTCACACCATCCTCCTTGAACCGGACCTGCTGGGATTTGGTCCTGCGGTGCTGGGGGTGCCTCAGGAAATCAGCAGAGTCCAGGCTGTTCCTTTTCAGGAGCACTGGGCGCATTTTCATGCCTTGCTGGGCCATTGAATCACAATTGAGAGTCTGTAAGTAACGTGTTTCCTTGCGACCCATTTCATTTGTCATTTGACCTGTACGTTGAGATCGTTCCCGAGGTACAGCTTAGCACTTTACTCCTGGAGCTGATCATTCTTCTCTTCACCATCCCATATACTTTTCACTGATGTGCTCTCCTTAGGGATCTTCCTTCAAATTTAATTGCTGATCAGACCAAACACTCAGATGAAGAAATTAAATAGAAAATTTACAGAAAGATTTCTTGTAGCCAGGGAATGCAGAAATCCCGGTGTCTGAAGCCAACATGATCTTTGTATTACAAAGGCTGTTACACTTATGGTTAACTAATTCAAAGGTAAGGTTGAGTCTATGGCTTTCCTGGTGGCTCTTGTTTGACAGCAGCTCTCCATTAGTGATCCAGCTTTTTTTGGGATGGACCAGTCAGATGTGTTTTATTTGCATCTTGTCTAAACAAGAAGCATCATAACTTTTGGGGGTGTTTTCATTTCTGATGCATAGATGTATCGCTGGAATATATCCCTTTATACCCAACTGAATTGCTTTCTTTAGAGATAGTTTTTCTTCTTCAGCCATCTTTTTAATGTTCCAGTTGAAACTAATCTTCCCAAACAGTTAAGCAAAATGTAACCACTCCTGACCAGGGGAAAATCCAGCATCCAGTGGGATTCAGTGGGAGAAGTTATTGATGTGTAGCTACTGCAGTTCTTGCAGATACAAGGCCAGTCATATCCAAGGGGCTGGTTCAGTTCTGTCAGTTCAGTTCTGTGAATACTTTGGCATCAGAAGAGAGGTCCAGACCAAATAACTGGCAAATGCAGAACAACAGACAATGTTTCCTGAAAAATAAAAAGACAACAGCCGTAGCTGAACAAACTGGCAGACAGGGTAATTTTCTGCTGCTGCCTCCCAACAACTTTTCATCTGCAGTGCTTCTGTAACTTTGGCAGTTAGAGACTTGTAGGGAAACTGAAAAATGTTTAGTAATTTTGAGGTACCTTAAGATTTTTTTCATACACAATACAATGCCCAAAAATAGTTATATATTTATATCCAGTGGATAAAATATCATAGGCCTGAACCTAACCCCAGATACAGATCTTAAGACTTAGAGTTGAAAATTTAATCCTGCTATGGATGAAAAATCAAAGAGATAGATGCAGGAATATACTCAGTTTGTGTGCAGGAGGCTGGGCTGGAAGGGTCTGGTTTGCCACGTTTGTCCAGGGCTTGTCATGGAAAAACAAACGTAGAACATTTTGAATGGCCACTAAATCTTCCATTTCTGAAAATCAGTCTGGACAGTAATGTAGTCCCAGTAACCATTTATTACATGTGTGATAGACTTCCTCACAAATGTGAATTCTCCTACCCCAGTCATTCCAAAAGAGTCTGAGCCCTGGTTCAGGATGTGCTGGACCAACAGCAGATTTCGACTGCTCAGATTCAGAACTCACACATGAGACGTACCTGAATATCAAATATTTTCCCTGTATTTTTACTAAGTTAAACTAAATCTGAATCTGGTTGCTACAACAGAATAGGGATAAGAGGAGAAATTTATGCAAAAAGTGGGAAATATTCTATGAGATTTTTAGTAATCCAGTGGAGTTTGGCTTTAGGATTGCAGTGATTTTCAAGGTTGGGGCTAAATTCCCAGCATAGTTCTAATTTACCATTAACTCTGTTCCCTGCTAATTCACCAGTTGTTTCATTAGCCTTAGCACTTGCATTAGCTCAGAACCCTTTATTTAAGGTTTTAAGCATTAAACAGACTTTACCATATTTAATTTAAGAGAATTGATGAGATGGGTGAAGTGGGAAAGATCTTGTTACAGAATATAGCAAACTGTTCTGTAGCATCATGTAACATTCAGGCACTGTAATACAATTTAAGCAAAGTAATAATGTGATATTATTCTATTATAAAGTTTTAGAAGAAAATGAGTGTTGGATTATTTCTCTGCAGAGAGAAATGTCACATTAAATATTGAGGGAATAAGTATGTGCATTAACACCAAATTTTACTTTGATGATATGCAAGAATTAAGTACTGAAATCACTGTGGTGTTTGTGCACTGGAAACAAGTCCCACAATAAACAAGTCCAACAGTTTCTGCAAATAACATTCCACTGCCAAGTTCTGAATTCTCATATCATCCACTAATTACTGGAGACTTTTTACAGTTTTGTTTGAGAATTTATCCAAATATTGCAGTAGCTTTCTCCACTTCCCACCACAGCTGCTGTGCTCCAGGCAGATGGACTACTTTGAAACTTATACTTGCCCAATTAAATTCAGAAAGAAGCTTTAGAAAGCTAATCCTTTGTGTTTTAAATACAAGTAAAAAGCCCTTAAGGGTTTTATGAGAGCTCTCTCCTTTGGCTGTAGAGGCATGTGAGTGAGATTCCTGCATTCTTAATTTGCAAATTGCTATTTTAACTCTGTTGGTTTTCAGCTTCCTTGGCATCCAATAGTCTGGAGCTCAGACAAATCATAATGAAAGTTTTGATGTTTTTATTTATATTATATCAACCTGAAGTAGAAAATACATGGGTAGGAACGCTCAAATATTTGGATTGAAAACCCAAACTGGTAAATATCAATGAGGTGTCTGTGCCTGAGTTAACAAATAAGTAACACTGCCAATTACTCAGTTTAAATAACATTTTCCCTTGCCCAGGAAGGAATTCTTCACTCTCTTCTGGCACAGCAATTTACAGCCCTTGTTTTGCTGGTGACTTCACACAGAGTGAAGTATGAAAAATTCTAAGGATCCGTTTTATAGAAACGCTTTCAATGGATTAATTCAACTTCTGTCACTCGTAACAAAAGGCATAAGTGAGTTTTGAATTCATGTCTTGCAACAATAGCAGCAGTTTGGGTAGTAGGAATCTCCTGGGGTTTAGTGTGTGCTGTGGTTCCACAGCCTCACATGCAGCTCTCCAGCCTCTTCCTCCCCATCCCTTCCCGTTCCCGAGGCACGAGAACATTTTGTGCTTGGCTTTTTGGTGTTTTGAGGACGTCAATCTGACTGATATCGGGGCATTTTCAGCTTTTAGGCTTGGCTGACGCTGCTAAAGCAAAAAAGTCTCTCCCTGCTTTGTGCACACATCTCTTAATGGTGGTAGTTGATCTTCAGTGGGAACTCAGTTTTGCTCCAGTGCGTACCTGTAACAAATGAATTTCCTGGAATAGACCCAGGTGCAAATCCTGCCCCCTCAAACAACAGTGCAATTGCTTTTCCTACCTGAGGATTGCGAGTTTGAGTTCTTAGAAATGCACACACAGCTCAGCTAGACTGCCAGGTAGGAGAAATTTGACAACAACAGAGATAATCGTATTTTTCTTTATAATTATTCTCCCCATTTTTCCTGCCTCTGCCTTCCTGATTTCTTCAAGAGAGTCAAGCACATTTTTTGGTTCATATTTCGGTCTAATGACTGACGCTGTGGGTAGAGGAGTGCAGCTGGTCAGGATAAATGGAGATTATGGGGAATTGCATGAAGTGGAAAACCAGGCAGCAAAGGACGTTGTGGGGATTTTGGAAGAGTGCAGATGTGTGAGAGTGGCACTTGTGGGCGTTTTCTGCAGTTTGTAGAAAAAGTTAAATATTTGACACGGTTTTCAAACTCGTTCACCTGCAGTTGGTCACCTAAATTTTCTGTTTGGTTGCTTTGCTCAAAAAATAAGTGTTTTTTCCTTATAGTGAGTGTGACATATTTGTAGTATTTTGGAGTTTCTTTATGCATGTTTTAAGGCCAATACTTCTTGAACAAAAATCTGCTTGAGCAGATTCTCTTCACTAAATGTCACTGGGTAAAAATATTTTTTTGTGAGAGCTTTCAACAGGAAGATGATCAGTGTAATTTTCCTTCTACTTCTGAGCATCTGCACTTTGAATTTCCCAATTCCCTCTATGGCAGAGGGTTGGAACAAGGTGATCTTTAAGGTCTCTCCCAACCCAAACTTTTTTGATTCTATGAGAGCTGACAGAGCTGTAATAACTGTAAGATAACATATTCAGACTCAGCAGTTTTCTGTCATATCTGATTTGTGTTTCATCCTGTATAATATAGATTTTCCATGATGTGCAGCTAGATGGACGTTTTCAGTTTAGAGAGCCAGCTTGATGTATTTAATTATGGTCTCCTAGGTGGGAGAATCATGATCCTCAGTTTCTAAGGAATTAGTGTGACTGCCACTTTCCCTTCATGTTGCAAATCTTTCCAGTATTCCTAAAATATTGTTGGGACAAGAGGCTGCATGTACTGGGGCCCTTGTGATCTGTGGGCTTGAGCTCTCATTCCATGAGCAGGTTCACCCCTGCTTTTCAAAAATTAAAATCAGTGTCTGAAATGCAACTTTTTTTTAGTTAACAAGGTTGAATTAAGGCTCTAAGCGCGTTGGTTTGGATTTGCTTTCCTTCCAGTTCATTTTCTGTCTCCACCAGAAACTTCAGCAGTAGCTGTTGGCCAAGCTGATTAATTTGGCCATATCTCTTCTTTTTATGAAACTCATGTTGGTTTTATTCCTCAAAACAGTGAGGGATGTTGAGGATTAGTTTAGATATATTTCTGAAATCCCTGGAGGCTGCAGTGAAACATAAATCACCTGCCAGCACGGAGAGCCAGAGGTAGATTTGAAACCATTAGAAAAGGATGATGCTGAAAATTCTCTCCTTTTCCCTTTTCCTGCCCTTCCTTCTTGCTGAGGGAAATGGATGGAAATGTGCTGAAAGTTACTGGTGAGCTGCAAGAAGGAATATTTTCAGATAGAAATTCATGACAGATGCAGAGCCTGTAAAGTAAAATCAGTCCCCCAGAAGTGCAAATGTGCAGCTGATTGTGATACACAGGAGAGAGCTGGCAGGGAACAGGAAAGATGAAACTGCTGAGAGAGGTTTTTAAGTGGCCTCTGTGTCCAGGGACCAGTTGTTGATCACAAGGAATCTTATTGCTTTGGGTCCCGCAGAATAGAGCACATTTTATGAAGGTAAATGTGTTTATTATAAGAGATGGAATAACTGGTGTAGCACAGCTTTGTGTCTGGAGTTTTCTCCAGCGCACAGCTTGTCTTGTGTAATATTCTTCTCTCACTTGCTCTAATTGGGCACACACAGAATTCCAGGTTCTGATGCTGCTCAGGGCCACAGAGGAGTTCTCTGCATGTCCCTCTGCATGCCCAGATCTTCCCCACATCGCTGGTTTGGTTAATGCTGAAGGAGCTTTACTGAGTTGGGCCTGAGAAACGAGGACTGAAGAAAAAGCATGAACTTTTTTACCGATCTTGCTTTTTGAGCCACGTCCAGGTGGGATGAAGGTGACTGGGGAAGAGGATCTAACACAGATAAGGAGTACAGGGTAGGATGAGTAAGCTTCTGTCCTCAAAAAGGGAACATTTCAGTACTGGCAGAGATTACAGGATTTTGTCTCTGGTTAATTTTACAGCAAGATTTGAAAATTACTTCAGGTTGGTGAGACTGAGTAGAGAAGATGCTGTGATATTTACTGCAGCAGAAAAAGGGACTTAGCTAAGCAAGTTTTAGGAACGAAATTGAGGGTGGTTTGCCTGTAATTTGACTGGGATGATGCAATGCCATTCTGCACGAAGTGCTGAAGATGCAGTGAAAGATAAAGCCATGATGATCTTTTCAATACAACTTTCACAACTATGATACTTGAAATTTTTAGTCTACTATAATAAAAATAAAAGTTCTTTTCCTTTGAGAAGGCGATACATTCCATTGGCTTTTTCAGGAAGAAAGGCTTCATGGATTAGGAAACATTGTTATCTCAGTATTTCTTCTGGAGCAGACACTGGAAATTGTTCATGCAAG